TACAGTGTGGACCAACATTGAAAATATTATGCTGAGCGAAAGAAGCCAGACACAGAGGACCACATATTGTGATTCCATTTATGTCAACTGTCCAGAGTAGGCAAATGCATAGGGACAGAAGGTAAATAAGTGGTTACCAGAAGTTAGGAGGAGGAAGGGATGGAAAGTGACTGCTAATGGGTCTGGGGTTTCTTTGGGGGATGATGAAAATATTCTACAATTGACAATGGCAACTGTTGTACAACTCTGTGAATCTCAGAGTAAGACCATCTATTAGGCACTTTAAGTTGGTGAATTATATGGTATGTGAATATCTTTTTTTTTTTCCTATCCTTTCCTGAGGACTTGCTTAGAGAGAGGGGAAGGGAAGGAAAGAGAGGGGGAGAGAAATAATTGATAGTTTCCTCCTGTATGCCCTGCAACCAGGGACTAAACCCGCAACCTCAGTATGTGCCCTGACCAGGAATTGAACACTCAACTTTGCCGTTTACAGGACAACGCACCAACCAACTGAGCCATACCAGCCAGGGCTGGTATGTGAATATCTTAATAAAACAATTTTAAGAAAACCTCAACATTTTTTAAAAATCTAATTAAAAAATTGGCAAAAGATATCAATAGACATTTCACCAAGGAGGATAGATATGCAGATAATAAATAACCACCTGAAAAGATGCTGAACATCTTTTCAAAATCCAAACTAGAGGAATTCAAATCAAAGTCATAATGACATGTCACTCTACACCTACACCGACAGGTGGCGAAAATGAAAAGTAGCGTGGGAGAAATGGACCACACCCACGCTGCTGGTGGGACCCTAGAATGGCGTGGCCACCCTGGGGAGCAGGTGGGCAGTTCCTTTGATGGACTTGCCATATGACCCAGCCCTAGCACTCACGGGCACAGGTGCCAAAAAGGGGAGAGCATACTTTCCTGGAGGAACTCGTACACAGATGCTCATCGTAGCTTCGTGTGTGATCGCTCAACACTGGAACTCCCCCGGGTGCCCTTCCGTGGGTGAAGAGTCAGGCAAACAGTGCTACCCCCAAACCGTGGGCCACCACCCAGCACTAAAAAGGAGCGGGCGATTGGCCCAGTGAGCAGCCTGCGTGGTCCCCAAGGAAACTGTGCCGGGTGAAAAAAGCCTGTCTCAAAGGATCGTATACTGCGTGATTCCATTGATAAGATAGTCGTGAAATAGCATCACCATAGAGATGGGGAGCAGATTAGTGGCCACCAGCCTTAGAGGCGGAGGGAAGGGAGGCTGTGGCTAAAAAGGGGGAGCAGGGGGAGCCTTGTGGTGAGGGCCCAGTGAAGTATCTTGATTGTGGTGGGGATTACAGGCAGCTACACACAGGATACAATTCATAGTACTGTGCAAACACACGCCCACACGTGAGCCCGCGTAAAACTGGGTGAAGGGTGCCCAGCACTTCCCTGCACATCTCTGCAACTTCTTGTGCATCTGCAAGTATTCCAAAATAAAACATTCTGTAGGGAAACAAACAAACATTTCAGAGCCAGCATGCAAAGCACTGTGCCTGGTGCTCGGCTAACCATGAAGAACAAGAGAGACACAGTCCCTGTCCCTGGCAGTTCAGTCATTCCATTGAGTGGTAAGATGAGATTTTATCACTCAATCTACTAGCTTTCAAGTTTTTGTGGATATTTCCTTTTGACTGGGATTGTAAATGCCCGAAGCCGTTCCGGCATGTGTGCCCCCACTGAGCCTTGATCGTGAGTCATAATGTGAAAGTCTTCCTCTTCTCTAAGTGGAGGCAGAGTCCTGTTGTTGTCACCGCTTGTCACCTCGGGACAAGCCAGATGCTGCCGGATGGTACCCATTTCTCTCCTCACTCTTTGGAAGAAGTGGTTAGACAGGGTCTGGCGTGTCCCCACCAAGGTTTCTGCTGAGGGACCCTGGAGACCGCACGCAGCGGAGGGGTCACTGCTTGAACTTTTCAAAGGTGACGCGTGGGCCCTGGCATCTTTGTTGGGAGGAGCCGGCTGGCTGGGTCCCTGCCGTGAGCTGCTGCCAAGGGCAGAGTAGCCTGAATGCAGGTGGCTTGTGGGCAGCTGAGCGGGGGGAGGGTTAGGGGCAACATGGGTGGGTGGCGTGGGAGCTTGTCGGCTGTGCCCAGCAAGGCTGTGAGCAGCTTTAGAGAAACGTTTACAGAGAACTTGGGAAAATGAGAGGAAAATGTAGGGAGTCTTTACAGTTTCTCTGCTTACAGAACTCGTAGATGCTCATTATAAAAATCCCAGAAAAACTTCATACAGGCAGTGAAATTGTCTACTTGGGGTGCATCTTTTCTTAATAACGGCTGTGTGGAGATGTATTCAGATCCTATACTGTTAATTCACCCATGTGAGGTGTACGATCCAGTGGCTCTGCTGGCTGCTGAGGGAGGCCGAAGCTGGGGCCAGGCCCTGGGCCTGGCACGCGGGAGCCCCCGGGGGGGCCCTCGGTGTGGAGGGAGCCGTTCCCACCGTCAGGATAGGGCAGGTGGGGGCAGCTGGCTGGGGCTGGGGCAGGCGCAGGGGCAGGAGAGGTCTAAGGAAACAAACACAAGCCTTGGCCCTTGCTTGTGATTTAAAAAATCTGCCGTTTTGACAGTAAAAAGGTGATTGGCCACTGTGTCTAGAACGGTGCTGCCTGCCCTCCATACAAAAATGAATGCGCCCTCGTGCCTGAGCTCGAGGAGCTGCCCAGCAAACAGCCGGTGGAGAAGTCTACAAGAAGCACGGGCTTTATATAAAGTGCCAGGGGGCACGGAAGAGGGAGTGGCTGACTTCATCTCTAAGCGTTCATCTATGTTGTGCAAGGGCCAGGCCATGTCTCCATGACGAAGAGAAGCTGCAAATGGTTGAGCACGCCCGTCTGGTGGGGGAGGCTAGGGCTTTCTGTGGCACCACCAGTAGCCCCCTTGAGGGATTCCTGCGGAAGGGCCATCATGTTCCTGTCTTACAGATGGAACTGTCTCTTCCCTCTTGCTGGCCCCAGGCTCCCTTGGCTGGTGCTAAGCCGAGTTGGCGATGTACCAAGTGCCAGCACTAGATGGCGCTGTGGGCCGCCCACCGCTACTAATTCACAGAGGCTGCTGATTCCGCGGCCTGTTTCTCAAACCAGTCATTTGTAGGCATCTTCGGGGTACCTCCCGTACTGTGATCTACTTAATGTCTCTCTTCAAATGCCCTATTAAAGTTCTTGTACCTATCCTAATGGGAAACCATGACCTCTCTGCCATAAATAGATGATGAATGTAAACTTATTTTAAAAATCATGTTAACTGTTTAGAACAGTGTCCAGTCTATGGAAAGAAGATGAATATAAAAACAAAGCTGTTAGAACAAAACCTCTTGGTTTTGTATTACCTGTACCCATTTCGCAGACCACCGGGGCGGTGAAATGCTGTCCTAGGCTTGGAAAACGGGACGACTAGCTCATGCCACCTGGATGCCTGTGTGTTCAGGGTCCGAAGGGCTCCTTCCCTTTGCAGGTGGAGGAACTGAAGTGCTGGGAGGGGGGAGGGGCGCACCCAGAGTCACATTGCTGACCCCAGGGTCAGAGCCACACCTGGACCGGGCCCTGCCTTCCCCCCTCCACACTAATGCTTCTAGAAGACCCTCAGGAAATTGGAGCTGAAGCGTGCGGCTCACATGTTTCTCAGCCCCTCTGATGCCTGAGGAAGTTCGCTGTGGGGTCCCGAGGGCAGGGAGCATCCCTGCTTGGCACATGAAGTCCCGGGGTGAGAGTCTGGAGTCATGGGGGTGGGTGGCCCCGAGACCACTGGTGAGCACCTGGCTCAGCTTCTCTGCGCCCCTTGCCCTGAGGGTCCAAAGCAGGGCGTGGCATTGGGCCACAGTCTCCGGTCAGCGCACCCCCTGCTGCCACATCCTGGCATGCTGCCGGCCTGAAGAGCCGTGCCCACCCTGGGATGGGAGCCTGGGCACACGCTTTGAGCCCTCTTCTTGTCAGAGCTAGAAAACATCAGGGGCAACCTTGCCCATGGTTACCACGCAGGCACATCAAGTGAGGTCCTGGTAGGTGCTCCTGGGTGAAAGGCCGGTGGCCCCAGGTCAGTGCCCCCCACCCCCTGCCCCGAGGCTGAGGCAGGACAGGGCAGCATTCCCTCCGCCACCGCCCCCTCAGCCCTCAGAATTGCCCGGTTGGGATGACCCAGATCTAGTACATGTTTTGTTCTGCTTTCACATCCTAGAGCCTTCTGTGTTATTTTGCCCAGAATGATGTGTATTAGTTCAGGCAACACCAGCTGCTATAAATCGCCACCCTAGATTATTGCAGATTAATGCCATAGAGCCACGATTTTCAGCCGGCGCGCCCCAAGAGTTTTCAAAACATGCAATCAATACCTGACTATTTAGTCAGCGGCACTGACTTCTTTCACTTACATTGTCAAATAAAAAAATGACATCAGCCCTGACAGGTGTGGCTCAGTGGGTTGGGCTCGTTCCACAGACTGAAAGGTCACCGGTTCTAGTCCCAGTCAGGGCACATGCTTGGGTTGTGGGTCAGGTCTCCGGTCGGGGGCACGCAAGAGCCAACTGATTCATGTTTCCCTCAAAAATAGATGTTTTCTCTCTTACATAAATGTTTCCCTCCCTCTTTTATTTCCTCCCTCCCTTTCTCTCTAAAAATAAATTTTACAAATCTTTTTTACAAAAAGATGACAACAAACACAAAAATAGCCATCTGGTGTGAATGAATCAATATTAAACTTTTTTTTTTTTTTTTGGTCACATCAGCAAAATGTAATGTTTTTGGTGCAGCGCAGAATTTTAGTCATTAGTTTATGTGCCAGGAGATGCAAAAGGTTGAAAGTCGTTGCCGTAGAAGTTCATTTCTCAGTACCTGCTGGTCCAGTTGGCAGCTGCTGTGTACATGGCTCCGCCCGGCCAGGCAATGCGGTAGTGAACTCAGGGACCCTCCTTCCCTCTGACAGGGAAACTCATCCAAGGCCTTTGTCATCTCTCCTCAGTATTGTACCTGGAAGGCTCAGTTCTTGTGTTTGAGGACATCTTCAGACTGATCGCGTTCTACTGTGTCAGTAGGTGAGTAGACCTGGCGCGCCCAGGAGGATGTCTGATTGTAACAGATGTCCTTGCAATGTGGGGTGGGGGTGGGGAGTCCCAGGGAAGCTCCCGGGGGAAGGGTGCAGCCCACAGGATGCAGAGAGGGGACAGTCCCGGCTTTGCCCTGGTAACCATGCAGGGTGGTGTTAGTTCTGCAGCTTTCTTAGAGCTGCCGGTAAGGACCTTACCTCACGACCACCTGCTCACCGGCTTACTGCCCAGCACCTTAGCTCCCCATGTCCCCGCTTCCAGGGCAGGCGCACCCGTGGAGAGGGTATAGAAAGGACTTCCTGTAGGGGCAGCAGGAAGGGCTGCTACCCTTCGCGCGAGGGTGCGTGTGACTGCTGCGCAGCTGCTGGGTGGAGTGGGTGTCTGGTAACCACGCACAGAGCTGCTGTTTATTCAGAACCAGTTGCAGGTCAGCAGGACTTTAAAAATACATTTCAGTGCCAGACACTGATGACTCAAGCTACAGCGCCTTGATGAGGGAGGGCCGTCTAGAGGCTGGGCAGGTGTCTTGGGACCCAGGGCTCCAGGCCCACTTCTGTCCGCGTCAAAAACCCCGTCCTTGCTGCCTCTGGGGAAAACCACACTCCACCCAGACGACCACTCCCACCGCCGGGACCCTGCTGGGCCCTCTGGGTAGAAACGGTGGGGCTGATAATAGCTGCCAGCGGCTGCTGCCTGCTGAGGGCTTCTCAGGTACCCAGCACGGAGAGTCCTTATACCCGGTATTTCAAATCTCGCAAACAGTTGCACAAGGCTTGTGCTCTTGTCATTCCCATGTTATGGATGAAGGAACTAAGACTGAGAGCAGTAACTTGCTCAAGGCCGCACAGCTGGTAAATGGCAGAGTGGAGATGCAAAATAGTTCAAGCTCCGAGGTTCACTGTGCACATCCTGCAGTAATTCTGGTGGCCTAGCATGTCCCCTCCAAGGCCCACAAGGCAAAGCACCAGAGGCCCGGCGCCTAGTAAATTATGGCATGTCCAGCTCTTGGGAGACAGGCCTTTCCTGTTCTTTGAAGTTCTTGCCTTAGTAGCAGGTGCCCGGCATCATGTTTGACACATTTCGGGTCCTGTGAACGGGTGAGCGAGTGAATGAACAAAGACGGTGGCACAGCCCCGAACTTGAGCTAGTGCCTCCCTCTCTCTGAGTCTCAGCCCCTTATGTCAAACAGAACTAACACCCAGTCCAGAGCCATTGGAGGAGGAAATAGGATACAGAGGCCACACACTGCCTGACACCTAGTAGGCGCTCGGTTGATTCCATGGGCTGGGCTGTTGGAGGGCGTGCTGGGGTGCCAACTGCGTGTGCTCAGGGCGGCCTGGGGCCGTGGTCCCACTGACAGGCTCACCCCTGTCGTCCCCCAGCCTCTCCTCCTGCGACTGCTTTTTCTCCACATTCCAGAAAAGCAGGCGCCCGTCCACCCGCCCTCGAGCACCCAGGGACCCACAGGGAGGTCACAGGGCACAGAGCCTGGTGCTCCTATATTCGGGGGTAGGAGGCATCATCCGCTCCAAAGCCGCCTCTGAGGAGGGAGGCGCTGTGGGCGGAAGAGCCCCAGGCTGGGCGAGGGAGGCTCGCTCCCGAGCTGGGCGACCTTGGGCCAGTCGCCATCCTTCCCCCGCCCCAGCGGCCCCGTCTGTCAAGGAGCGGCAGCCAAGATGGAGCGTCGGAGTGCGAGGGCGCTGTGGGTCTAGAGGTCTATTGGTTTGGCCAAAAAGTTCGTTTGGTTTTTTTCCATAAAGTGGCTCTAGTAACACTTAGTTGTCTTTTAACTTCATTTGAAACGATTTTATTAGACTGTATTGTCACAGCTGTCATATCAGCGTGCATTTTTTTAAAATATTGAAATTGGTGAATTTTTGTGAGCCATTTTAATATTGAAGATGGAAGAAAACACACGTTTGCAGTGTACTGTGCTTTATTATTTCAAGAAAGGTAAAAACGCAACTGAAATGAATAAAAAAAGATTAGTGCAGTGTATGGAGAAGATGCTGTGACTGATCAAACGTGTCAAAAGTGGTGTGCAAAGTTTCGTGTTGGAGGTTTCTCACTGGACGAAGCTCCAAGGTTGGGGAGATCACCTTTAAGTGGATCAAATGTAAAAAATCAGTTTGAGGTTAAATTGAAAAAATCAGTGTTCTACCAGGCAGGAGACAGCCGACATAGTCAAAATATCCAAATCAATAGCATTATTGGTGAAAATGAAAAAGGTATCTTTTATTTTAAGGAGAAAAACCATATGGACTTTTTGGCCGAGCCAGTCCCACCCTGCCCCGTAGGCTCCTGTAGACGCAGGCCCCAGGGGCAGCGGGAAGCGCACCGAGCCTCTCCGGGGCCCGTGGGCCATCTCCTGTGGGGCCTCACACAGACGGGCCGTGTGACCGATGCAAAACCCTCGGGTGACAGACGCCAGTCCTGGCTCTGAGGCCTGCGTCCTCAGTGCCGCGCTGCACTGCCGCCCAGCCCACCCCGCCTCCTTCGCAGAGCCTGCTGCTACCCAGCGGGCCCCGTGGCTTGGGCCGGCTGCCTGGACGTCGGGCACCTTCCCTGCAGTCGCCGGGACCAGCCTGACACGGGCAAGCGACGTGATGAGAGCTCCAGCAGAGCAGGAGGCCCTGTCTTTCTCCACTGAGCACTCATGGGGAGCGCGTGCTCCCCTCCCACCCCGACCTGGTAGAGGAGGGCGCAGGCTCTGTCAGGTGCTCACCCCACACCTAATGTGAACCCTGATGCTCCAGGCTGGACACTAGGCTGGTGGGGCTACTACAGCTGGTAAAAAGCGCTGGCTCCTGGGGTTCCCCCGGAGATTCTGACCCAGTGGGCCTGGGGCAGGAAGCAGGACTCTGTATTTATAATTACATGACACTTGGCGCCTGCGTTTAGTGTGAACCTGTCTGCAAACCAGCATTTGCAAACTGCTTCTAGGCAAGGGATGGTCATCGCTTAGCAGGGGTCTCTGAGGGCAGACTTTGAGAAGAGGGTTCATGGGCACATGACACTAAAGGAGAAAGCAGCAGGGAGGAAGGGGACAGGAGAGAAGCCCAGGCTCAGCTGATCCCGCCAGCAGCTCTGGGGCATAAAGTGGACCTCAAGGCCTGGGCTTTAGAACCCCCAAGCCAGCCAGCCAGGCATCCTGGGGCCAGCAGGGCAGGCCGGGAGGCTCTGGCGTGCAGGACAACCCCCTGAGGGTCACAGGTGCCAGCCCTCAGGAGCAGACCCCGCAGAGGCTGTGCATGGAGCTGGTAAAGATGTCCGGGGGGTCTGGGTGGGGCAGGGGCTGTGACAGGGCATCTGTGTTGAATCAGGCTTTGAGAGAGAAGGGGCGAGCCGCCAACGGAGTCCTTTCTAAGCCTACAGCCATCCTGAGGGGAGCTGTTCTCATCTCAGACCCGCTGATCGGCAGGTGACCCCGCCCCCGGGGTGTGCTCAGCATCAGACACGAAGATCCCTCTAAGGGGCTTAGCAGAGCGCCAGGCACCGAGCGCTCCAGATGTGATCAATCATCTTCTTGTTGCTGCTGCAGATGAGAAAAGTGAGGTCTGACCTGCCTCAGGTCACATGGCTAAATGTTGAGCCCCACCCGAGCTAACACACGTCTACTCCTGCAGCCGCTGCTGATGCCTGGCACAGTGCGCAAGGCCTGAGGCCAGAGGGTGATGTGTGAACCGCTCCCCTTGAGCCCTGCCCCCCATAGACGCGAGGGTCTGGGCCCTCATGGTGGAAGAGGTGACCTTGGAGGCCCTGCAGAGAAGGGTGGGAAGGGAATTCTAGGTGGAGGAAATGGCATGGGCGAAGGCCTGGCAGTGCGAAAGCTCAGGAGGGTTTCGTGGGGGAACTGGACACATGGGTGGGAGGTAAGATGCTTGGAAGGCCTCGAACGCCGTGCCCAGGAGCGATGGGGACTTCCTTCTGCAGGTGTGCGAGCCGCTGCTCACAGTCAGACAGCAGGTGGCCGCGCAGGCGGAGGGACTGAAACAAGGCGAGGGTGGAGAGCAGCGGGCACTGCAGCTTTCGTGTGGAGGGAGGCCCCTGCCCAGGCCGCTGGGGGGGAGCCAGAGGGCTGGGCCCGCCGCTGCGGAAGGCGTGGGGGTGGTGCCAGGGCCCCCATCCTGGGCTACAGGAGGGCGGACGCCCTTGACTGTGGCTGGAGCACTGACTATGCCACAGGTCTCCGCTGGGCCCCTTGCAGTATTCGTGAGGCCTTACCCTCGGCACATGTTAGGCTTGGGCGTCCAGAGCCTCATGAAGGGGGTGCAGTTAAGCAAAATGAGGAAGGAAGGAACCCCTTGGGTCTGCCCTCTCTAGGCAGCTTCCAGACACTAAGTGTTGTGCCGAAGCTGCCGCCGTCCTCCTGGCAGGAGGAACAGGTGGCGGGCTGGTCCTCTTTGCCCTTGAAGAAAGCTGTTATCACTGTCTGGAGCTGCCTCCCCTGCCACCTGAGCCAGGAGCCACTGTGTTGAGCCTGGTTGGTCCTGGGGGGCTGGGCAGAGGGAAGGCGCCTCAGAGGCCTGAGGAGAGCCGTGGCCTGTGCTCCGGGGAGGGGATCAGGGGGAGGGGGAGGAGGAAACACCAGCTGCCTCTAAACGCAGGCCAGTGCCATGCACTTCCTACCCCCCAGCTCACCTGATTCTCAAAACAACCCCATGAGAAGGCCTCACGTGCCCACTGCCACACCAGAAAGTAAAAATGACATCATGCGAGGAATGGCAGAGCTAGGGTGTGAGCTGGGTCTATGGATTCTAAGGTTCATGCTGGTTTTCTCTTTCTCCCTCTCTCTCTCTCACTTAAAAACAAACAAAAAAAAACATCCAATGAATTCATTCTCTTCCCACTTTAGTGATTTTTTTTTTAGGTTTTATTTATTTTTAGAGGAGAAGAGGGGGAGAAAGAGAGGAAGGAGACATTGATATGCGAGAGACATCTCTCTGCTGCCTCTCGCACACCCCCAACTGGGGGCCTGGCCCACAACCCAGGCATGTGCCCTGACTGGGAATCAAACCGGCGACCTTTCAGTTCACAGACCAGCACTCAGTCCACTGAGCCACACCAGCCAGGACTACAGTAGTTGACTTTCAAAACCATAAAAGTCACCTGGGTTCTGCAAGAAGATGGAGCTGAGGGGACCGTGGGCATCAAGGGTGTTCAGATACTGCTCCCCTAGTCCTGGTCTCACATCTTAGACGTGCTCCCCAGATCATCCCGAAACTTGCCAGGACCTAGGGAGATGCCAAGGCCCTTGGTGGGGCGGGGGGAGTGGGGGGCGGGGATAAAACTATCCTGCACCGAAGAATTTGTGAGATGACACCCATGGTGTGCGGTGTTCTTCAGCCGGCGGGCCACAGTGCATTAGGAGGTGCGGTCTCTGTCCGGGCTCCTGACGCGGAGCTCCTATAGCCTCGGGACTTCCTGAGTGATGGGGTGTCTTTCATCATTCATGACCCTGTCCCACCTGAGTTTATGCTAAGAGGTGACACAGGTAGGGCCCCTCGCTAACCTCAAGGTGGTGCTGATCACCAGGAACGCCCAGTGACTGGAGCAGAGGTTTTCAACCTTCTCCATCCCATAGCACACGTAAACTAGTCACTAGAATTCTGTGGCGCGCCAAACACTTCCATTTTTTTTTGCTGATCTGACAAGAAATATAGGTGTAACTTTGATTTACAAAAATAATAATTGCAGTTACCAACCCTTTTTGCTCTAAAGTGGCTTTTTTAAAAAATTAGGTGCCTATACTTGCATATAAGGATTTCTGGTACCAAGAATTCACCCATCAGACGCAACTGTATGTGATGTGGCCAATATGATGCAACTCGTATGGCCCGTATGGCTGCGATCCAAGATAAGACATTCACACAGGACAGCTACCGCTGTGTTGGCTGTTGTCGTTTTTTCATTTGACAATCTGAGGGAAAAGAGATCGGCCAGTGCTAACCCCAGGCAGGTAGTGTCAGCACAGAAATTACCTGTGGGACACCTCGCTGGTGTCCGGTGGATTGGTTGTTGACATCAGGAAGCACCCAGAGGGGGTCCTCAAGTCAGCTGAATGGATCATACAGTCTCTCTCTCTTTTTGTAATCCTCCTCATCCGAGGACCTTTTTGTCATTGCTTTGAGAGAGAGAGAGGAAGGAGGAGGGAGAGAGAAGGGGAGAGAAACATCGATGTGAGAGAGAAACGTCGATCAGTTGCCTTTCACACATCCCCAAGCGGGACCAAACTCATGACCCAGACATGTGCCCTCACCGGGAATTGAACCTGTGACATTTTAGTTTATGGGATGACGCTCCAACCAGCTGAACCACACTGGCCAGGGCCTGGCTCTTTTTGAATGAAAAATTAAACTAGACTAGAAAATACCATCATGTGTCTCATGTCTCTGGAACAAGCCTTGTGCTAAACTGGTTGTAGTTGTGGCTGTTACGTACGCTGCATCACGAGGCCAGATACGTTTCTTACTAGCAGTCATGGTCCAGAAAGCATGAAAAAGCACCTGCTAGAACAGAGGCCTCCAGGGCGGGGTGTTTGCACCCTGGAAGGTGGGCAGGCTGACCCACCAGAGTGTGTGCAGGGCAAGGGGATGTTGGAACACTTACCCTAATAAAACCTCATTTTGAAATTTTCTCCCTTTGTGAATGCTTTCTAAAGGACTTAGTAGTTTATAAGGAAATACATAGATGTGTACATACCTAGAGAGCTCCTTACTTTTTACTTGTATCGAGAACCCTTCCTTTGCAAGCCGTGATTCCCTCCCAAGGCTGTGTCCACCAGAGTCCCTTCGGAGAGCTGCGTAACGATGTCGTTCCTGGCCCGCCGCCAGACCTTGCACTGGACACCCCCGGCGTGGATCTGGAATAGGCAGTTTAGCAGCTCCCCTAGGGGATTCTGACCCCGAGTTAATCAATTAATACAAAGGTATTAATGCCTACCCATAAGGGTGGAATTGGGGTGTGGGGGGGAGGTGGACAGAGCGGTGGATATGGTCGGGAAGGGTAGGTCAGGGTCAGGCTGTGATGGGCCTTGAATGCCAGGACGAGGCGTGGGATTGGGACCATCCAACCTAGGGGTCCCGCAGAGCCACTCTCCCCTTCCTGGCCCCTGGAGACAGGGCTGGGCTGGGAGTCAGGAGGCCTGGGGCTCAGCCCGCTCTGCCTCCAACCCGCCGTGGGACCTGGAGTATTCCTGTCCCTCTCTGGGCCTCAGTTTCCCTATCTGCACAACAACAGGAGAGGGTTCTGAGTTCCCGCTGGGTGATCTCCAGAGAGATCCTTGCACAGTTCCCCGTTCAGACCAAAGGCAGCAGCAGATTGGGCTGTCTGACTGTGCGTGGTCAGGGAAGGCTGACTGTGTGCTCAGAGGGGATGTCTGACTGTTCTCACTGGAGGTGTCTGACTCTGTGCTCCCGGCGGGGGGGGGGTGTCTGTTTGCTCAGTGGGGATGTCTGCCTGTGTGCTCACTGCACACCTCAGGGTGGAGTAGTAAGGCTCAAAGGGCAGGAAGGGGTGGGTTGCCCGCTTTACCCAGAATAGAGCCTTTAATGGACGCTTCCTGGGCTTCCCAGGCCAGGAAAACTAGGGAAGAGCTGTGGCCCCCTCCTCACTCCCATGGAGCTTCCCCCACATCTCTGGGTCCCTGGTGCTGGCCCGGGACCTGGATCTGATTGGGTCCTCCCTCAGCCTCAGGGCTGCGCCCCTCCCCCGCAGGAAAGTGTCCAGTTGTCATGGAGACGCCAGCAGCCAGCGGGGTTGCTGGGGTTCTCCCTCTGCGGGCTGTGGCTTGGGGGGCTATGGGGGCTGGAGAAGGGATGCACCCATCGTCCCCAGACATCATCTCCAACCCCTGGTGTTTCCGCAGAGACTTACTGCCCTTCAGGCTGAGGCTGCCGCAGGCCATCCTCGAGGCCAGCAGCTTCACGGACCTCAAGACCATCTCCGACCTGGGCCTGGGTAAGTCCGTTCTCAGCGCCTGGGTGGCAGCGGGGCCTCAGGAAATGGGGCCCTAGAGCTGCCCCTGCTGACCACCTGTGCGGAGGGAGGGCCTCGCAGGCTGAGTCCAGGCTGGATCCTGAGTCCCGGCTCCCGTGGGGCCAGCCGCCGCCTGCCCCAGGCTGCTGAGCTCCATGGCAGGGAGAGTCTCCCAGTCTCCAAAGGGGAGCCTTTTACCAGCTGCCCGGGAGGCCTGAGGGAGCTGGGCTGGTCAGGGCATGGCCCTGGGAGAGGCTGAAGCAGATGCCCCTTCAGAAGGTCCTTCTCAATGGTGACCAGAGAGTTGAGTGCCAGGAGCTGCCACAGCCACCTCCCTGTCAAAAGAAAAAGCAGGGTGAACGTGATCATGAACTGAAGTGTGCCCCCCACCCCCCTTGGCCTGCCCCTTACCCTCTGACCTTTGAGGGATGCAGAAGGGAAAGGAAAAGAAAGGAGGAGAAAGGACAAGGGGGTTTCTGGTTGTAGCCCTTCCACATAACAGTGAGAAGATCTCACATCCACTCTTCCCTTTCCATGTGTCAGGCTTTGCTGAGTGCTGACAAGGGCCTCATCCCACTGGCCCTTGGGAAGCCGGGCCAGACGCTTCTGAGGGCTGCAGCTCCTGGGCAGAGGCCTGGCCATGGTTTTGAACAAAGCAGTTAAACAATAGATTTTTATCAAGACTAAACCACGCACGGGACCGGGCCCATACACGGCTGAGCACGGTGCCTGGAACACGGTAGTGCCCCATTCACCAGGGTGGGTCGAAGGGAAAAAGCGATGACAGAGAGGGCAGAACCGGGTCATCGACGCAGTTAGGGGCACACCTGAGGTCAGAGAGGATGCCGCTGGTTCCCGGGCCAGGCTGCTGTCCACGGCACAGAGGGGCCTCTGGGCAGCGATGCAGGAGGTGCCACAAAGCGGTCAGAAATGAGGAAGTAGGCCTGGCGAGGTCTTGGGTGTCAACATTTCACGAGCACTGACTCCGTTCTAACCTGTTGACCTGCAGATCTTCAAACAGTCCTGTAAAGTAGGTTTTGTTGCTGTAATAATCCCCACTTTACAGCAGAGGAAACTGAGGCACGAGAGCTTAAGTACCACATCCAGTGTCACACAGTCGGTGGCAGGGCTGGGACCTAAGCCAGGCAGTTTGGCTGCCGCACCCCCACTCTCCTGTGCTGCCCGTCCCTCTTCACTGGGACTCTCCTAGGTCTGACTTACCCATTTTGTAAACTTCAGGGCCAGTTTTCCGTAGATAGTGGGAATAAACACGGAATCTCACCCCCAGATATTCTCGTTGTTGGGCTCTTACCCTCCCAGAAGTTTGAATGTGGGACGAGTGAGAGTTTTGTAATTCAGAGTCCAAATGACATCGCCCCCGAGCTCTAAATTAGCACAGATGACGTGCTCACCGCAAGGCACTCAGCACTGTCTTGTGTAACCTCTGTGTCCCCGTTTTAAAGATAGGAAATCAAGTCTTAGCACAGCTGAGAAGTGTGTCAAGGTGCCCAGGCGGGACGCAAACAAATTGGGACGAGCACCAAGGGCTCTCTGACCCCCAGCGCAGCGTCCCAGCGGCCCCTCGGTGCCACTCCTGACCTTCTTGGTTGTCTTCGCCACGAGCAGCCACCGGCCAGCCTGAGACCGGGCGCAGGGCACGCGAGATGGATGGGCTCGGCCTGGGAAGGGTGCCCTTGGAGAGGGCGGTCGGTTTGCTACAGCCATTGGCATCCCTGGCACCTTCGTTTCTGGAATAGACAAGCCCTTCTATCACAGAGAGCTTGACCTTGGGCACGAGATGGAGGCAGGGGTCTCCATCTGGGAAGCTAGTGGAAGTTCAGATTTGTCTGTGGGCACTCACTTCTGGAGAAGAGGATTCACGTGAAACCCCGTAAGGCCCCCGGCAGCCTAGGAACCAGAGGTTCTGATCAGACCTGATGTCCCCAAGGGCTGAAGGATGCAAAGCAAGGGTCATCATCCGAGGAGTTCTTCCCTGGTTCTGTCCGTTGCCCACATGGATGGAGGCCGGAGCTGAGGGCACACTTGGGCCAAGGCCTTGGCTGGGAGACGTCCAGGCCTGAGGCCCGCCAACCTTCCCTGAGTTTGTGATCATAAATATGCAAAGAGCAGCCTTTGCCAAGGGCCAGGACGCACCAGCACTGTGCCTAGTGTGCCACGTATTGTTCTAGGCGAGGCACTCCTGTGGCACAGAACTGAAACCCAACCAAACTGGTGTAGACAAAAGGGGACCTAGTGAAAGGACACTGGGGAATCTCATAGAAAGGGAGCGGATGAGACGCACTTTGTGGGCACAGGGGTTCCCCACATGCGCAGGCCGGCTCCCGGTGGCCACACCCAGCATCTCGTTAACTTCCAGTTCCTGTTCCCCCGCCCCTCTACCAGCCAGGCTCAGATCCAGCCGCATGCCCACCTGCTCATCTTGCAATTGGAATAAGGTTTTATTTTTCCAAGTAGAGTTTGTGTTCAGTATTATTTTGCATTAGTTTCAGCTATACAGAGTCGTGGTTAGACAATCATATACTTTACAAAGTGATTCCCCAGGATTTTCCAGGACCCACCTGGCACCATACATAATTGTTACACTATCATGGACTATGTCCCCTATGCTGCGTTTTACACCCACATGACTATTTTGTAACTACCAATCTCTACATCTCAATCCCTTTCCCTTTTTCACCCAGTCCCCCAAACGCCCTCCCCTCTGGCAACCCTCAGCCTGGTCTCTGTGTCCATGAATCTGTTTCTATTCTGTTTGCTTTGCTCTTTAAATTCCACATATAAGTGAAATCACATGATATTCGTCTTTCTCTGACTTATTCCACTTAGCATAATACCCTCTAGGTCCATCCATGCTGTCACAAATGGTAAGATTTTATTCTCTCTTTATGACCAAGTAATGTTCCATAACTTTTTAATCCACTTGTCTGGACACTTGGGCCGCTTCCAAATCTTGGCTGTTGTAAATAATGCTGCAATGTACACGGAGATGCACATGCTCTTTCGAATTAGCGTTTTGAGTTTCTTCACACTCGAGTTCCTAGAAGTGGATTCTCTGGGTCATAAGGCAGCTCCATTTTTAATTTTGTGAGGACCCTCCCTACTGCTTTCCTTAGTGGCCACACCAGCCTACATGGAATAAGTTCACGAGGCAGGTGTGTTTCCCATCACAGGTGTTAGCAGTAATGTTTTTTCTGGCCTCCCCGTCACTTTTTAGAGCAGGAGCTGAACGTGCAGTAAATGCCCCGACAGCCCTGCAAGCCCTGCTGCTCAGCACGGCGCCGTTGCTGGGAGGCAGCCGACGGTCTGCGGGCTCGGCGCCCCGTGGCAGCCCGGAGCGCCCGCTCGGGAGCAGACGGCGGAAACCCGGAACTTGCCCTTAGAGAAGCCAGCATTTGAAAGGGCAGGCTGCATAGGAATAATCTTGGGGCTACAAAACTCACATAGGGAGCAATTCAGCACCAAACCACATACAGCTGATCTCAGTGTGGAAGGGATCTAGGCAGAGCAGGGGTGACTAAGGTTTCCCAGTGTTCTCTGACTTGTCTGCAGCATGTTAAATATGTTTAGAAAAGACATATGTTCTATAGCTCTTCCCAGTTGGTATATAATATGCTTTTTCCTTTATAGTTACAATGAGAATTTTCCTAGTTATTAGAAATTAATTGAGACCTCAAGTTTGAATGACTGCCCAGCAGCCCATCTTTGGGATGCCACAAATATTATGTGCTGAACTCATTGGACTCTTGCGCTGTTTCCCTGGCACCTGGGGTACTTGGCTGCCTTTCCTCTTGCCCTCTCTGTCCTGCCACTGGCCCCGGCCCTCTGAGGACTGGAGGAGTGGGGACCTGGCAAGAGGCACCTCCGTATCAGGCGCAGGAGGCCGAGCTCAGCTCAGAGGCAGTGAGGGCAGGGTCCTGAGGGGACCCCGCAGCGGAGCCAAGGCCTGGCGTGGCGCCGTTAGGCACAGACGTCCGCCGCTTTGCCAACCACTAGGGTTGCATGACAGCGTTCCACTTCTCCTCTGGCCTGGGCACTCAGCATGCGGCAGAAAAAGTGACCCACTTCCCTTTTATTTTTTTTAGCATAAAACCTTGCTCTGCCACTGCAGTTCCCTAACAGGCCCCAGACCCTACAGGGCAGCCCCTCAGGTCTCAGCGTCCCCCGCCCCCTCAAGGCCAGCCTTAGGGGCAGGGAGCAGTTCCTGGTCACCCAGGCCCCAGGCCCATTTCCCTGAGCCCCAGTGCCTGCTCCACACCTGCCAGAACCCAAATCTGAGCTGTAGAAAATGGGTTGTGTTTTGGTTTTTTTTTTAAATCTGTGCCTGATGGACCCACCTTGCTATCCTGAGGCAGGCTGTCCGGCTGGTGGTCTGTCCACTGCGGGAGCACCGCGGCCCTCCTCTCATTGCCTTGCCTCTTCATTCTCTTGCCTTTAGAGATCCTCCCGCGGTTCAGGTGGTCCCTGCCTCACCATCAGAACTACCCTCATCTGCGTCCCGTTCCTCAGAGCCCTGCCTCCGCACCCTGGCTAAGCTGATGCACGTGCGCAGGCCAAAGGGCTGAGCCACTGCTCTGTACCAAGCCCTGTCTCAGGCGCTGGAAATACTCGGATGGATGAAGCATTGCGGCTGCCTTCTGGAGGCTCAGAGTCTGGCAGGGGTAGAGGGGAGTCAGACAAAACCAGCGCCTGACAGCACAGAGAGTGTAGGGGAGGCCTGAGTGTGCCAGGAAGGCGCCGCCCAACAGGGAGCCCTTGACCCGAGTTGCGAAGGCTGGGTAAGAGTCTGCCAGGTGGAGGGGGTGGAAAGAGCAGAGTGAAGAGCGTTGGCCAGGACTGATGGGGCGGCCCAGGGCGTGCGTGTTCAGGGAGCAGCAGAGAACGGGGTGAAGACTGAGCAGGTGATGCTAGAAAAGATGTACAGATTCAGATCCCACAGGCCTCAAGCCAGGTTAAAGGGTTGGCAGTGATTCTGAACAAGTAGCAATCAGGGGCCTACTATCTACCCAGCGTGGTGCCACAGAAAGAGAATGAAGGAGGGGAGGGCAGCCGATGGCCTTGATCTTGGTGCGTAACAGTGGAAGCGCCCAGCCTTGGGTGGCCACTTCTGTTTATCATCTACCCATGACATCCACCTTCACCCAAAGGAAGGGCTTATGGGAACTTGGAGGTGAGCATCGGGGGCCTCTGCTCACATGTGGGGCTGCTGCCCAGTTCACCCCTGAGTCAGACTGGCTGCGTGGCTAGACCTTGGAAGAAGGCAGTGTTATGGGGGCTGTGTTGACAGGCACAGGGCTTCCATTGCTCATGCCCTGAGGCCAGAAGAGCTGTGGTCTCGACGCAGAGCACCCAGGAGTCATGGGTGGGTCCGTAGCTGCCCATGCAAGTTAAGGGCAAGGCCCAGGTAGTGGCTGTGAGGTGCACAGAGCTTTGCAAATTGGAAAGAGTCACATGAAAATTTGTCATCCTTGTTATTGTGGAGACAGCTAGCCAGACACAGGGTCTCTGCCCAGGACAGGGCTGAACCACAAGCCCTGTGGTCCTCCCTGTCACGGTCTCATCTCAGAGGGGATGCGCAGGCTCACTTGTCAGTTTCTCGGCAGCCCCTTGTCCTGGGGTTGTGCCCCGTTCGCCTTGATTGGGTTTGCAGTCCCCTGGCCCACAAGGGGGCAAACGCCCTCGTCCATGACCGTGCCCGCCCTTAGGGCAGGCACACACCCACGGCCCTCAGCCACCTTTTGATGTCTGCTGTCTTCCAGTGTCGAGAGCCTGCTGTGTTCTTACCACATCCCCAGTTCTGGGGTGCGCACCGCCCTGCACTCACTCACGCTGGCCCAGCAGCTGAGATAGGAAGTGTTGCAAGTTCCTATGAAGGAGGGCTGCCTAGCACCGTGGCTGAGCTCACAGACCTTTAGAACTAACCTAACCTGCTCCGAACCCCAGCGCCTTCACTCACCAGCCCAATGACCGTGGGCAAGTTCTTTACTCTCTCTGGGCCTCTTATTTCATCTGTCATACAGGGATGATACCCGGACTTACACCAAAAGGCCTGGGGTCACGGATCAGTGGGATGATCCATGTCAAGCAAGTGGCCCGTGCAGCCAGGACTCAGTGCGTGTGCTCCTGTTACTGTCCTGTGTGTTATTTTTGGTAGCTTTCTTCTTGATGAATCGCTCCCGGAGGTAAGGCGCTCTGGGCGAGAGTCCAGAGGCCTGGTCCCACCATAAACAAGGGTGTCTGTGCTATGAATCTCTAAAATCAACCACTTGGATAAGACCTGGGCTCCTTGCTCCAGGGGGAGCTGCCGGAGCTGCCTGGGTGGGCTCAGAGGGGCTGCAGGCCCGCTGAAATGGTTCCCCAGACATCGTGCCCGTGCCCTTCTGGGAGGGCCCCGAGCCTCCGTCACCTTCTTCACAGGGCTTGACACCCAGAAGCCAGGAACTCCTGCGCCCGTTGACCCCCGGTGCCCGTGCAGCTGGGATGTCCCATGTCCCTGACCCAGCACAAGACAGGCTCTGACCAGCAACACCTGGCCAGGGACGGATGTGCTTTGGTGGCTGCAGCTGTGGGCTGAGCCGTGAGGGCTGGGTCAGGAGAAAAGCTTGTGCTGGGACTCAGCTCAGCAGCGCAGGAGCCCCCGTTTCCTGACACTCCCCACCCCCACACACACTGGGGGGATGGGGCAGCTTCCTATTTTAACATCAAGATTGACCAGAGGCAGCCCTGGCTGGTGGGGCTCCGTGGATTGGGAGCCGGCCTGCGAACCAAAGGGTCTCCGGTTGGATTCCCGGTCAGGGCTCGCGCCTGGGCTGCAGGCCAGATCCCCAGTGGGGGGAGCACGAGAAGCAACCACACATTGGTGTTTTTCTTCCCCTCTTTTCTGTCTAAAAATAAACAAATAAAATCTTTAAAAAAAGAAACAAAGATCGACCAGCCAGTCGTTTTGCAGTGGGCAGGTGTCCCCCACTGGCAAGGTCAGGTCTGCGCTCAGCAGCCGCCGGCCGCGGGTGCACTTCCTGCACTAAGCGACTGGGGCGGCCAACGCATCTTCCCCGTGGGGACCCCCATTCTAGAGATGACTGACAGAGGCCAAGAAAAATCAAATAACCAGGCCGAGCTGGTCAGCTGCAGGAACGCTGGGCTTGCCGGCCCCTCCGCCTGCCTACAGCCTGCACCCTGTGTCCTTGGTGCCGTCCGGCGCAGGCCGACACACACTGGGGGGCAGAACGGAGGCTGGGCCCCTCCACCGCTGCTTGGCCCCACCCCCACGCCCTGCATGGCAGGGGAGGATCTTGTGGGGCTTCCCCTCTCGAGGCAGGAAGTGGTAGGAGAGGTTTAAAACAGTCCAAGAAGGCAAAACAACCCGGGCGAGCAGTGAAGTGTGTGCTGTGACGGCCTCCCAGCCCTTGCGTGGCCCTGTTCCCACCCCACCCACCTCCCCACCCCCCGGATGAGGAGCGGGGACAGGCTCCAGGACCGACCGCCTCTTCCTCTCTTGTTTCCACAGGCTTCTGGGACTCCTCGCTGCACCCCCGGCATACAGGTGGGAGCCCAGTGGAACCCCCAAGGGACTCAGCCCCCAGGGCAACCCCCGCCTCCAGCCTCAGGTCTGCTTCCCATTATGAAAACTGCTCGTGTGAAATTGAACTCTCCGTTGGAAGGGACCGCCTGTGGTTTGTGAATCCCATCTTCGTGGAGGACTGTGGCGGTGCCCTGCCTGCCGACCTGCGGTCCCTGAGGAGCTGCCCCGTTGGCCCGTTGCCTCCCACCTCTGACTCTACCTCACCCACCTCCAGGTGGGCCCCTCGCCGCCCAGCACCCCCTCCCCCAGTGTCCCCTCTCCATCCCCTCAGTCCCGCCCGGCCTCCGCTGCCCCCTGCTCCACCTCTGGCCTGTCCTTTGCCCAGCTCTCCTGCACCTCCAGAGACCCTTCCTCCTGCATCTCCAGCATCTGCCTCTCACCTGGCACCGCATGCCCTCGGGCCTTTGGACCATCCAAGCCAGCCCCCTATGACAGCCTGTGAGAGGCTCCCATGCCCCCCCACAGGCCCGGGCCCCCTCACGGAGGAAAAGGTGAAGCCGGGGACAGCCCTCAGCCCCCTGCAGCAGGCCCCCACCCCTCCAAGGCCAGCAAAGAAGGGCGTCCCTGCTGCTCCTCCCAGGCGCCGAGTATCCGAGAAGGTCTCCCTGGAGGACCAGGGTGAAGGGAAGACGTACCGGTGCACAATGGCACAGTGGGACCAGCCGGATCTTTGCAGGGCACCCACACTCAGCCTGCCTCCCCAGGAGACCTCAGACAGTCCTGGGGATGGGCCTCAGAGGACCGCAGAGCAAGGTCAGGAAGCAGCACCCAAAGCCAGCGATCTAGGCAGCGTGCCAGAGCTGCCCAAGAAACCCCGGCAACCCCCAGTCCCGCCTCCGAGGAAGAAAAGGGTCTCTCGGCAACTGGCCTCGATCCTCCCAAGCCCCTTGGAGAGCGCTGAGCTCTCCATGGAGGAGGGAGTCCCCCCGAAACCCACCCCTGGCCCACCCCGAGAAGGCCAAAGCCCTGCCTCCCAAACCAGGACTCAGAGCACACAGGCCCAGGCCAGCTCCCGGCCCCAGAGCACTCCCGAGTTCAAAGGCTCCCTGGCCTCCCTTTCGGACAGTGTGGGAGTCCCCGCCGCGGCCACAGATCAGGACTCCTACTCGACCAGCAGCACGGAGGAGGAGCTGGAGCAGTTCAGCAGCCCCAGCGTGAAGAAGAAGCCGTCCCTGATCCTGGGCAAGGCGCGGCACCGCCTGAGCCTGGTGAGCTTCACCAACGTCTTCCACGCCTTTCTCTCCAACAACCGCAAGCTGTACAAGAAGGTGGTGGAGCTGGCCCAGGACAAGGCCTCGTACTTTGGCAACCTGGTGCAGGACTACAAGGTGTATAGCCTGGAGATGATGGCGCGCCAGGCCTGCAGCACCGAGATGCTGCAGGAGATCCGCACCATGATGACCCAGCTCAAGAGCTACCTGCTGCAGAGCACCGAGCTCAAGGTGCTGGTGGACCCCGCCCTGCACTCCCAAGAGGAGCTGGGTCAGTCCGGGCAGAGGCTTGGGGGTGGGCAGAAGGGTGGGATCCTCCAAGATAATCCCGTTTCCCCCACAAGCCAGCGAACTAACCCCACTGCTGTGCTGCCTTGTGCTTCTGAGTTCTTCCCATGTGCCCAGTGGGAAAGTGGAAGAAGCACAACCCACAGGAGAGGCTGGGCAGGGCCCAACCCTCAGGATGCTCCTGGTTTTATTAGGGAGATGGGGCACAGGGAGCAATTAGAGACAAAAGAAGTTCTGGTGTGTGGCTGCTGCAGGCCAGAGTCTGTCTCTACAGGAGAGGTGGCGGCTCTCAGGGATGAAGGAACCCTGGGGGGCTGGGCTGAAGCCCCCTCATTTTGCAGATGAGGAAACAATAGCTGAGGCCCTTCCTCTGGGAACAGGGTAGAGCCGCAAAAAGACTTCCCAAGACTATTTCTCTGCTGTCACCCAAGGCAGCTGGACGTCACCCAGATGTCAAGTAGATACAGGTTCAAGTCTTTGTTCAGCCCCCAACTAGCCGTGCGGCCCCCACCATCAGAGCCCGAGCCGGCCCGTCGGCAGAGTGGGGACAGGGGTAATGACACACATGTCACAGAGCTGCTGGGAGATCAAAGCTGGCTGGCACCCTCTCTACTAGACGATTGGGGTGCCTCTTCGATAAGATGACATTTGGACAGTGAAGGAATAAGGCGTGTGGAAAGCTGTGAAGTGAATTCTCCAGGCAAAAGGCGTAGCAGGTGCAAAGGCCCTGGGGCGGGAACCAGCGTGGCAGGTGGTGGAGCAGCGGGAGCCTAAGGGAGTGGCAAGGTGCTGAGTGAGAGAGATCCCAGGGGCAGCTCACTGAGGGGCCTTGAAGGGCACAGGGAAACTGTGGCTTCTTCTGTCCGTGATAGGGGCACCACTGGAGGGTTCTGAGCCAGGAATGTCGTGGTCAAACGTGCCGTAACAGGATTACGCTGGTTTCTGTGTTGACAATGGCCTGGGAGGGGCCAGAGCAAGAGGCGACTAATGCAACTAGGGAAGAGATGATGGTAGCTCAGGTCAAGGCGGTAGTCTTGGAAGTGGTGAGAAACCAGGTTCTGGGTGTGCTGTATTTTTGAGACTAGAATCAGGTGGATTCAAGGATTGAAGAGAGGCATCAAAAATAATTCTACCAAACATTTACTGGGAACTCAGGACCTCCAGGTACAGCTGCGTAACTCCCATGTGAATAGCAGGCAACCCTGTGAGAAGCATTAAGATACAATGTATCCATCCGAGGGCTCCTGTGCCAGTGGCTTCTGGCCGTGACTGTCTGTTGAATGTACCCCACAGTCTCCTGTGTCAGAACGTAGGGTTGTAACTGCTGGGGCTGCGAGTGTGTTTTCCCAGGGATCGGGAGCTGGGAATGGCCACACTGCCAGGCAGCGAGGCCTGGTGGCAGGACCCCTGCCACCGGTGTCCTCACCCTACTTCTCTCACCCACCTGCAGAAGCGATTGTGGAATCCGCCTTGTACAAGTGTGTCTTGAAGCCCCTGAAAGAAGCCATCAACTCGCGCCTCCATGAGATCCACAGCAAGGACGGCTCGCTGCAGCAGCTCAAGGAGAACCAGCTGGTGATTCTGGCTACTACCACCACCGATCTGGGCGTGACCACCAGCGTGCCAGAGGTACCCGTCATGGAGAAGATCCTGCAGAAGTTCGCCAGCATGCACAAGGCCTACTCACCCGAGAAGAAGATCTCCATTCTGCTCAAGACCTGTAAGCTCATCTACGATTCCATGGCCCTCGGCAACCCAGGTAGGTGATCAGCCAGAGGGGCCTGCTTGGGAGGCGCTTGCCAGGGGGCTCTGATATTGTGTGGGTCTGCGACTCGTCCCCCACCGAGGCCCCCAGAGCCTCTGGAAGGCACTAGAGAAGCCTCCACAGTCAGAGGGCTGCTGGGGCCGAGCTGGGCACGCAGTCCCTGGGCCTCTGGGTCCCAGAGGAGGGCCCTGGTCAACTGGAGGCTGGCGGGGAAGCTGGCCCGTACTGTGCCTTCCTGTGAGTTACAAGAGCAATAGCAGCTTCCTAAGGCTGCTGTCCTGAAGGACCACAGACTGGGTGGCTGGCACAACAGAAGTTTCCTTTCTCGCAGCTCCGGAGGTGGGACATCTGAGGTCCAGGGGTCAGCAGGGCCGCGCTCCCTCTGAGGGCTCTGGGGAAGGATGCGTCCCAGGCCTTGCTCCCCGCTGCTCGCGTTCCCAGGCTTGTGACAGCTCAACTCCACTGTCACACGGTGCTCCCCGTGTGCGTGTGTGTCCCAATGTCCCCTTATTATAAAGACGTGAGTCATGTTGGCTTAGGGGCTCCTCCATGCCAATACAGCCTTGTCTTAATTCCATCTGCAACAACCCTATTTCCAAGTAAGGTCACATTCCAACGTACTGAGGGTTAAGACGTCAACATAGGGATTTTGGAGGGACATGGTTCATCCCCCAACAGCCACCTAAATCAGTTAGTGTTTATTGTTGCTCACAAGTCAGTGGCACGGTGGCGCTGACCTGGCCAGGCGGGCCTGGGCGTGGCTGGGCTGGCGCGTGGTCTGCGGCCTGCAGGGGTTGTTTGGAGGCCAGCTGGCCTTGCCCACGTGTTGGGTGGCTGATGGGCTGTTGGCTGGCCTGGAATGGGAGTGGGTGGGCCACGCGGCCCTTGTTCGCCTGCAGGTTGGCCGGGGCTTGTGTCTGCGGCAGCAGTTGGTGGTCCCGGAGAACAAGCGAAGCCGGCAAGGCTTCTCAGGGCCTCCCTGGCTCCGACTGGCACAATGCCACCCTGGAATATGCCATTGACTTGTTGAGGTACAAGAGCAGCCCAACATGAAGGGGGAGGAAGGAGGCTTCCCTTCTTGATGAAAAGAGCTGCAAAGTCAAGAGAAGAGGCTCAGGGTGCGAAGGCAGGGAAGGAAATCATCGGGACCGTTTACTGTCCAGTTACCCCAGCGCTCCTGACGGCAGGCAAGGACGGCGCCCGCTGTGCCACGGCGCACACCTTAGTGAACGGAGCGCTGGCCGGGTTTCACTGCCCTCCCCCATCCCCAAACCCCTTCAGCTGCGCGCCCTGGAGCAGAAGCAGCCTGGGTAGCCATGCGCCACAGCAGTAGTAGTGGAGAACGTGGTAGAACAGACGGAAGGACTGCTACCTCTGTAGACACACAGCCTTGGGTCTAATTCCTGATCTGTCACTTATGACCTGCGCCACCTTGAATGAGTTACTTAACCCCTGAAGGCCCAGTTCCCTCACCTGAGAAAGCTGTTTTACAAAGAGGGGAAACTTCTTAATGCTTCCGAAGCCTCGCTTGTTGGCTTGCGGATACTAGCAACAACATGCAAAAATGCCGACCTCACTGCGCAGCCCCTGGCAGGCGGCTGCTGTGGGAGAGGGGTTCTCTCCGTCCCCTGGAGACAGGTAGGCCAGCTTGGCCATTGGCCAACAGAAGACACTGTTAGTATGTGACTGGGGTGCGGTGCAAGGTCCAGTCACTCCAGCAAAGCTCCTTCAGGGGAGCTTCGCAGAGACCTTCCCATGGGAACGCCAAACTTGGGGAACTGTTTGCCCCAGGCCGTGCCGTGGCTCAAGGTGAAGTCAGGGCCCAGGGCTCTATCGGCCTCTTGTGACACTGGTCTTTTTAAGGAATACAGGTTTCTCTCCCCATCCCCCACCATTTTTTCTTTTAAATGGAAGTTCCCCATTTTGTTTGTTTCCTCATGATGAGGTAGAGGTTATGCCTTTTCATCCAGACCCCGACAGACTCTTCAGTTCTCTCGACTTTGACATCCATTCATCTTAGGACTAGGCACTTTACCCCAAGCATTCACGCCTCACCTGCCCCCACACGACGCTTCCAGCGGCTTGCTACTCAAAGGGTGGTCCGCAGACCAGCAGCCCCAGAGCTGTTGGCGACCCTGCAGGGGGCAGAACTCCAGCTTGGGTCCTGTCTGCCTCCCCCATAGGCCCACTCAAAGGAGTCAGCCCTTACCGCGCATCCCCCACCCCCTCCCGCGCTGCCCCAGCCCCTCGCCCCATGGGAGAAGCCTCCTCCCCGGGCACCACGCTGGCAACAGTAGCCGGTGGTCCACCCGCAGCCCCCTTGAGACAAAGATGAGGACAGGGCCCGGCTGCTGGACAGACCTGTAGGAACGGTGGGCAAAGGGCTTAACTTGGAGACACGAGGCCTGAGGTAAGGGGCCAGGCCGTCTTTTCTAGAAAGGTAGTTGCTATTTATGCTCATGATAGAGATGGGCCAGGATTCAAGCCAGAATTTTCTCACTCCAAAGCTTGTGCACTTTTATCACTGTACTGAGCAGCCAGCCTGGGAACAGATCCCAAGATTCCCGACTCCTGATCAAGGGCACACTCCCCTGGGGCCGCGAGTGTGGGGCCGCGAGTGTGGGGCCACGAGTGTGGGGCCGTGAGTGTAGGGCCCCGGGTTAGGCAAAGCGGGGAGTTCACAGCCAGGACAGCTTTGGGTACACTGGGCCCTCTCCGCTGCAGCCGGGCGCAGCCCGGGATTCTCGCGGATGCCTTGGGCTTGGTGAGACCGATCAGGACTCCTCGAGCCACGGGTCCCCTTACTTTGACAGGCAAGTTATTCCCACCTCTCCAGTGTCTCAGATCAGAGGGCTGGTCCGCTACTGGGGAGAAATAGTCAAGCCTAAGAACTCCTCCCGAAGAGAGGAGGGGGAAGAAGGCCGGAGGAAGGCAGTGTTTGCAAGGTGGGATTCTTCCTAAGAGAATATAAGGAAGCTTCTTTTGATACTGATAAAGGACAGGCAACATCCCAGAGGGCAGCGAAAGCGAACAGGGGGCCTTTTTCTGTTCCATCAACAGCCTGCATCAACACCCTATACTTCAGGAAATGGAACCTAGCTCCTGGCCCTGGGCGACCGGGTACCCAACAGCCAGGCGGTGGAATGTGGGGGCCAAAGGGGTGGTTGTGGAGCCCCGAAGTCCCTCAGGCCCATTGCCGTCCACCTCCCTGGTGGAGACCACCCAGGGAGGTCAGCCTCTGCGGCTGCTCAGGGCGGGGCAGAGGCTGGGGGTTGGATGGGAGAGGAAACTCGATGGAGACCCGGGAGCATAAAATGACAGGCCTGTGGCAACGACTCGGGGTGGAGAGGACAGAGGGAGGTCAGGCTGTGGGGTTTTTTAAAAAATCTATGTTAAAAAATATAAACTGATTTCTGATGACAAAAATCACCCATGTTTATGGTGGGAAAATAACAATTAGTATGTTGATGGATTTCTTTCTGGTGTTTTTGAAATAGATGTAGCTAGGTGGCTAGAGAGATAAGTAGGTAAGGAAACGCTCACAGCTGCAACAGATAACCCTGCAGTCTCCAACTTAATAGAAGTTTATTTCTCAGGCATGAAGTCCAGTCGATGGGAGGAGGGTGGGGGGCGGGGCTGTGCTCTATAGAGTCATTCCAGGGTCCAGGCTGAGGTAGTGAGGCTCCAGCTTACTTTTAACACTCCACAAGAGTCCCTCTAAGATGTCATGTTCTGAGGATTATAAGACACATGAGCCTCTTGGCTTGCATAATACCCATGTCTAGCATTTCTCACTTGCCAGTAACCCAGCACGCATAATGCGCATGATTCTCCATTGTCTTATTGAACCGTCACAACCACCCAGAAGGTGCAGGCGCTCTTGTTATCCCGTTTTTCTGGTCAAGGAAACGGAGGCTCAGCAAGCTTACGCAGCATGCTCAAGGGCGCACCTGGGCAGGTGAGAGGTCGACCTAGGACTTGGATCCAGGTCCTGTGCTAAACCGCTGCGTCTCCTGCCTGCCCAGGGTGTCCTGGGAACAGATGATCTCAGAGGAGGCAAACTCACATCATGGGCGGCCTCCTGTCCTCCCGGGCAGGCCGGGACTCTTGGCGTCAGGGCTCTGCGGCCACCGCAGCGGGGCTGGCTGGCAGGCTAGCTTGCGGCTGAGCTCTTCAAAGAGGAAGCCAGGGAACTGGAGTGATTCCCTGAGGCATGTGGCGTTGCTCAAAACAGAACTGAGACCAAAGCCACATCTGCTTGAAGTGCAAACAGCTAGATAGGGTGGCTTTGGGGTCTCAGTGGAAAGAGGGGCGGCTTCCCATCTCAGCGAACCAGCCAGAGAAGCCAGCTTCTACGTAAAGAAGTACCTTTTCACAGAAAACGTCCACTGCCGAAGGAAATTTCCAGCCTCCTGTTCCAGATGCTCTGTGCTTCCTGCCATCCTGTTTTTAGCAAATAGCTTCATTTATCCAGTAGTTAATCAAACATGTATTGACAGAAAAACCCAGTCCCTGTTTCCAGGATGGTTACAATTCGAGCAGAAAAACAACATCCAACAAGCAACACCCAGGCAGTGAGATAAATGCTATTCATTCCTTTAGCAAATGTATTTATTCAACACCTACTACAGGCCAGGCTCCGCTGAAGTGCTGGATATAAGCCGTGAGCACTGTGAAGTCTCTGCTCTCATAAAGCTTCCATTCTAGTGGGGAGAGACAGGTAATAAGCAAAACACACCATCCAGTGCTGCAACATGCTACTAGGCAGCAACATGCTACTAGGATAAACAAGCACAGAGGGTCCAGGAGCGCTGAAGGTGCTTGCTGCCTGGGTGGGGAGGTGGGGGTTAAGGGCCTCTATCTCCGTTAATACAAATATTAATGTGTAATGTTTGTTTTCTCATTCCGCAATGACAGGGCTGGGGAAGCCCGCTCTAGGCATTGAGCCCAAGGGGGCGGGGAGTGAGGTCTTCGGTTCAGGCTTCGGGAAAAAG